AAAATGCCGAATTAATTAGTGATTTTCTCTTTGGAAAGCGAAATGAATATTACATGTTCCTATATGACGAGGGAGTTGGAATCAAATCATTCAACGATAAAATTATTTCAGAAAATCCACACTAGTCTCAAATATTTTACTTACATGCATAATTGTCTTTTCTGGACTGTTCATGTTTTGACAATAATGGGTTTTCAAGCCTACACACTTTTCGTGTAAGTAAGGAAGTCTTTAAAATATAATAAGCATTGTCAAAACACGACATGTATGAGTCTTTGACTTCTCAGTAGTAACTGATAGAACTCTATGAAGATCTATCCACAGAATACCTCCATAGAATGGCCAGCAATAGAGCTTTCACATCTGGTGCCTAATTAGCCAAAAAAAAATTAATTGTATACTTCACCATACGGATATAAAGCTTTTACACTCCAGAGGTTATAGATAACAAACTGAATCTCGTAGACGGAAAAAAAACTAATCAGAAAAATGGATACCTGTTGGTATTTATTGGTAAGAATAACAAACTCAAACCTCCCAAAGTAAAAATAGCCTGTATATCAAAGAAAATTCTATACATGATTGTCGAAATCAACGGCGATAAAGCCTCAGTTAACTTGAAGAGAAGAATTTCCAATCCTCTCAAAAGAACGTTTTTTGGAGACAACCTAAGCATTCCAGGATATTACCCAACGTGCCTGAAGACAATCGGAAATGGTTCAGTAAAAACTCTATAATCGAACATCTTGTGAACATAGCTCATTCGATCAAAATGAACTCTGCACTGACAGTCACCCACAGTCAGTCAGTCAGTCAGATGCAACGTAGAACTTCGTACGTAAGTACATCAGTTCATGTCGCCATACCATATCAGCACAGAGATGTAATTGTCAATTCAAATCCAATAGTAGAAGAGTTAGTAAGGGTATTAGAAGTAATAGGAGAGGTTAGGATGAGGAGATATTATTCGAGAAGTATGATTAAATGAGAAAAGTTTAGAAAGTCAAAACTAGAGGTGTTGAGGAATCCATAAGATTAGGATTTGAGAGAACACAAAGAATACATGCACCGGCGCCATTGCGAACGATTTTGAGCCATATCATTTAAAGTCTCTAACCATCGATTATTATCAGGTAGTCGACAAATACCGACATGGCTAAGTCCATTCGTCAATGACTTCATGGATTTCTGCCATGTTTTGGTTTGGCCGCCCCTACAGTCACTCACAAAGTAGGTAAAAACCTGTCAAAAGCATTTCACTTCCATCTTCTGAGCACCGCCAAATCATTTGCTATGCATTTAAAACACAGTTACAATTATATCTACAAAAGAAACTTGTACAACCTCTTCTCTTCGTAATCGCTAGTAATTTTTTCTCACATAGGCTTCTGCTTCGCCTCTATCTTCTTCTCAATACACTTGTCACTCCCAACTGATTTGCTTCTGCTTCCATAGTCCTCCTAACTACAGTTCATTTCTGTTTCAAGATTTTATCATATTCTTTCTGATCTTATCCTTATCTACCTTCATGATGAATATTCAAGCTCTCAGCAGGATTATGATTAGTTTCCTTAATTAAAAATTAACGTTTTTATACCTTCAGTTAGTTTGCCTCATTATTACTATATTAAGCAAAATTACAATATTGCTATTATCATCATTTTGAAAAATAATTCAATTGTGTATGACTTTGAAATTGAATGCACTGGAAAAGCGGGACTTTTTCACTAAAGCTACCTTTCTTAAATTTTTTTTTACCATTGATAATCATGTCCAAAAAATGCATGCCAGTGATCGTAAATTAAGCTCACTGAAATCTTTTTTTTTTATCCACAACCTTCCCACGATATTCACATAAAGATCATAAAACATTTCTACTAATTTAATTAATTAATTAATTAATTATTTACCAGTATATTTTTCTAAACAGTAAGCCTATTTTCGAATCAGACTATTGTATGTTGCCAGTAGAGAGAATAATGATTGTTTTTGTTTCATACTTTATGTTTCATGGAATGAATAGACGATATATACATACCTAATCAATCTATTTGTTTCCTGAATAAATTTTTTCAATACATATCCTGTTTTAAAAAAAAATAAAATAATATTTATTCGATTATTCTACGCATTAAACATAACGAAAACTAATCAGTCGATTATTGTATTCGACAGTATATATATATATATATATATATATATATATGATTGGGATTTGATGAAAATCTTGTCTAGTCACACAGTTAAACAAAATTTTGTTTTTATTACAGCTGTTTAATTAAAAAAATACTGAAATTTAACATGGAATCAGGTTTAACTTAACTCATAAGGAAAGAGTTTAAACTGATTATTTAAAATCCTATTTCGCTCATTAATTCATTCATTCACCCAATATCTACAGGAAACTGTATTGATTTTATTCTGTTTTTAGTGTTGCACTGAAAGCTAGAAGCATTACTGAGCAGAAAACAAATAGGTTCAAATTCAGAAGAACACATGAATAATTGAGTCATTGAGAGTAACTGATTCACTCTTAGAAATGAAACAATAGTTAAGGTTATCCTTCGTTAAAGGGATATTTGCGTAAACGGTTTTATGACATGATCATTGTTCATGACAATTCTTTACTTGCTGATTAAAAGTTGCTCCCAAATTTTATGTACATGTTATTTAAAACGGTGGAAAAGTGTTTACTTTACTGTATTCACTGATGGGTAATATGTTGTCATATTTTGTGACAGTTTTAAACGAAAAACCTTGTTTGTTATTCAAACTTAGATCTAGAAAGGCAACTATTTGCAGAGAAAATGTAATTAAACCAAGTTCGTAAAAATAATTGAGCTTCAAGAGAATTTAGAAGGGATTCTTAGTTACGAAGCCATAAGATTCCTAATGATTGTTTGTGCTAAAAATTTTTAAAGTCAGACGATTCCGGGTGCTATTCAAGCAGTATAAAGGAGAACATTACATAAATATCCAATTGAAGTTTGACCACAAGCCTATGTGAGTTGATGAAACTGGTAAAAGCTGACGCTCTTTCTGCAGCATACAGAGAAGAACATCTTGCTACAGACTGTAGATGAAACACCCAAATCACCTACATCAACCTCTACGAGCTGTCAACAGATAATAGATACTGACTTAAAAACTGAAATTAAACAGCGTAAACAACTGAGATGGCTAAATAATCGATCAGTGGAAAACAGACTAAACTACACTATAGCCAGCAAGGTTGTTAATAAAAAGTTATGATAAGCGAAGGAAACCTACACACTATATAAAAGCCGATGCTTTATCTCTTTAGGTACCACTTTACGAAAGCGGAGTCGATCGTTTTTCACTGACAATGTAGATCTTATGAAATAATGTTTGTTAAGCTAAATATTCAGATGGTGTGTATATTCTGTTAGGTAACTTTTAAAAGAAATAAAACAAACAAGTTTATCAATAAAATAGGATTAAATATAAAATATTTATCAGTTGTCTAATTGACAATTCAAACTATGGAAACTTTCTGTTCTATTATGCACTTCGACAGTATGTAAAACAAAATGGCCGAGTATCCCTTCATTACTTGTATTCGAATCAATAGAAATAAATATGTTCGTGACAGACGATGAGCAAATGCTTAATATTGGATTTTTTTTAATAATTGACGAATCTTTTGTATAGTTGACTATAATTCATTTTCTACTGCTTTTGACAATTTTATTAATAACTGTTCGTACTCATTACCTGGATACAACTGATACTATAATTTAGTTGATATTTTCCAAAAAATATGGCGGCAAATCCATACACTTTATAAAGAGACTTTACAACTAAGCACTTAGTTGCGCATCCCGATCGATTTTAAAAGTAGTAGTAGTAACTATTTAGTTGTCTTACGCTGTCTTTTGACATGCATTATAGTGCAATAAATGTAAAATTTTAAACACTGTTATTTGAAAGAAAATTCATCTGGATAAAAGTTAAAGTTTTTTCTGAACTGTCTACAATGGGGATCCGATAAGATTTACCCTTTTAAAAACCTATACGCAGCTATACAGTACTTCCTACTTACATACTTTAAAGGAAAACCAGGGAAATATAGGCTATTTCTTGTCAGAAATAATGCGAAGCTTTTTATAACTGTTTGATTATAAGCAAATGACACGTACATCTGAAAATCTAGTAAACAGCACTATATTCGAAAGTTTTGTCAAAACTTATCATTTTCCAGTGCATGAATTATTAGTTTACATCCAACATTACCTGTAAATACACTCTGAAAATTAAAAAAAGGTGTCACAGAAAATATTTAATTAGCCACAAGACTTTGGTGAAAAATATCAATGTTGTGATCTATGTAAAAATATTCATCCATATTTATCACTATAAAAGTAGTTATACAGCTGGTGTTAACGACTTCTTCAATAAATGCTTACCTTATAATAGAGAGAAATATAAGACACTCTAGGGACGTCAAAAGAATTAACTTTTAAACATGTTTTATCGCTACTCACATATATTATGTTGATTTATTGGCATATTAAAAACTATGACTGAAATGTTGGTATTCAAATAAACAAATATGATTTTGACTTTTAAAGAGATCATAGTTTGATTTTGTCTGTGTATGACTGCTAGTTATTCACGCACAGACATAATAAACAAATTAATGTTCTCAAATATACATTTTTTTAAATTTAAGAGGAGGAACTATACTATCTAAATCAATATTACATGTAGTCACAAACAATTTGTTTGATCAACTGTGAAGCATTTGAAACAAACGTTACACACCTTCTACTGATTCAACGTAAAAATAAGCTATGAATAAATTCTGTTACTCATGTTGTAATTCTCTGTTGATGTGTTATACAGAAAGTTTGCATTCAATGACAAAACTCATATTATCCTAATAATATTGACAAAAGTGTAACATGATTGGACAAAAATTCCTGAAAATTTCACTGGTCATATTAGGTAGGATAAGTAATACAGACAATAGATATTTACAGTATATATATTTATATATATACATATATATTTCATCTTCTCTACTGGAAAACGAGTGCTCAAACATTGACTATGCTTCATATTATCAAATATGGATTAAAATTAGATGAAATTGTAACATGAACTCTAGGTTAGTTTTCAAAATGTTTTCATTATCATTGAGTATATTTTATTTTTCGTTTCATGTTTTGTAAATTTATAGAACGCCCATTATTAAAAATAAGCTGATTAGAACAAAAGATAAATTGAAAAAGTAACTAGTTGTATATCTATCATAAAAAATATACTTGTAGTCGTGAGTTGTTAATTTAATTTCCAGTTGATTGACACTAGCTGCGTGTAATAACCTGATATTGATCAAGCAAACATTCCTAGAGAACTGGTAATATATCATCATACAATATGATGGGCGTAAATAAGATAGTTTTTCATCTTCTGAAATATTCTAATGATACTATGTAGAATTATACTTATCTCCTGTTTGTTTATTCATAAACTGTGTCAGCGAATTGTGAATAACAACCATTTTTCATTGAATATCCACAAGGCCATAAGAACTACCTCTGAGATAATCATACATCAACAGTGGTCAATATGATTGTATCGAGATTTCCGATTAATGCATGCAATTTAATTTCATATATCCTAAAACAATGTTTCTCTGTTTCTCTCAACAAACCAGCCAACAATTTCATTGATTTTCAAATAGAAATCTACTGAACATTTCCACTTATGAGGAGTTCCAGGCTAAGTGAAAATATGGATGTGCAAATTGAATGTTATTTTTAAGTGAATCGGATCTATTTAGCAATCGTGTGTATGTTTCTTGAGACACAGTGACACAATGTAGGCTAGAAATCATTGTTCTTGATTAATATGAGCAAGTGATCGTTAGGCGCTGATTTCACAACTAACTAATTTGTGTGTGACACTGTTAATAATTTGATTGTTGTGGTTTTTGGTACTTTCTATTTGCCGATGTATTTCGATAACTAATTCAGTAGTTCTGTCTTGACATTATCTTCTACGGAAAGTCATTCAATACATTGAATTCTGTCATGCTCCATTCCACAAACTAGTATTCAGTTCATGTAATAAAAACATAAACTACTTAGTATCACTGTCGCCATGTGTATCTTTACTGGTTCAATCAACTGTTGCTGTGCAGTCAGTAATATTGAGCGTTCGACCAAATAACTAATCGTTGTAATTCTAATTTCATCTACACGAAAAGACAAAATTTTTTATTTTTAACCTTACAGACTTTGAAAATATCCCAACACATTGTAGTTGAAATACTGATGTTGTCTTCATTAGCATTTCTTACTTCGACAAATGTCCAAAAGTTGCTACTCAGTAATATTCTACCATAAATGAATTTAAGGATATTAAAGATTCCCATTGTGAAAACTAGAACAACATATATAAGCGAACAATATTGTTTTCGATTAGAGTAAAGCCTGATGACGATCTAATCGAAAACAATATTGTTCGCTTATATATATTGTTCTAATAAATGAATTTTATTGACACTTGAGTCTTATTCAAATTAAGAAATCTATCAAGAAATTTAACCTAACATTTATACACAACTGTCCTACTTCTACTGATCAGGACACATCAACTAACCCTATCTTTGGATGTATATTTAAGGATATGTGAAATGATACTAATACAAAGTGAGTCACAAATGCTCATAAACATTTCAAAGCAACAATGGCAATATGAATTCTCAAACTTCCAAATATGCATTCACATGTTTGTTATTCTTCGAAATTATGTATTGCCAGAAAGTATAACTGATTTTCTTAAACGATCGGATATTTGATTGATCATATTTCAATATAAATGTCTTGAGAATTCAGAAAATGTTTATCATGAACATATGTTACCTAGGTAATCTGTCTAAGATACACTGAGATATCACTGAAACTTTTACTGAAAATTTAGAAATTCCACTAGGAATTAAAACACAGTAAAACAACGAGAATATTGCTACGTGTTAAAATTATTCAGTATACGTATCATAAGAAGCATAGATTTGGTTTGATTGATTAGGTTAACAATAGTTTGGGTGGAACTATGTATACATAAAAATAGAATAGTATCTTAGTAGATAAGCGATATTGATCTAAGATGTTAAAAAGTGTGAACATAGTGTAAATGGGATGTGGCTAATAGTGGAACAGTGGAAAGGAGCATGTTTCGCCTTATTCGGGACTAGCTAACCGAATGTACTTGTATCTCAGAGTTGATGTTCACTCTGTTGTTGATATTTTTGACTGAAATTCGATCGATCTTGGTTGACATATTGGCGTTGTTTGAGGATAGTCTCGATGTGATTGAAATCATTTCAAATTGAATTGAATTTCATATTGATTGTACAAGTGAGTAACTGTCTCGACTCAGCAGTTAGGCGTATGATGCGATGATGTATAAAGCCGACGATACTGGATTCGAGTTCTAGAAGGAACATCAACTTAAACATACAGGTGAATTTATATGAGTTTACAATTACTGGGTTTGGAAATTAAAATTCATATCATTTTATCCTAACCTTAGATGGACGTTGATCTGATGTGAATTGTCAACTACGCATCTTTCAAATGCATCCAGTTTGACATTACTTACCTATTATTTTTGAGTGATTTTATTTAGGACTGCAGTAGCTCTTCTCATATCCATTAGTCTATTGAAATAAACTCACTACCTATCAGACACATTAATACTGAGTTGCATAATTATTCTAGTTACATTCTATTTTAAACTTAATCTATTAATCAAAGTGTCTGTATAAGTTTTACAATGATTAAAATCAGTAGATTTAAAAGTTATATTAGATTCACGATTTTAAAAGAAACGCTAATATATTATGATTTACATCAGGTTATTTTATCTTTTGAATGAAATTGTCTGTATCGATATTATAATTTCAAGTCACAATCACGACGTTAAAAATATCAACTCTAATAATATATATATATATATATAGTCATATATGAAAGTTAATTGTGTTTTTTTAAAAGCATGGAATAATTATTTACAAATATTTATCATGTAGGAAAAGTATGAAACATCTTGCCTATAATCGATGTCTGTGCTTAAACTGCATCACTCAAATATTTAATGCTCACTAGTCAAGTAACTAAGTAACGAATGTTGTAATCATCATAGCACAAACTTTGAATTCAATATGAAGCACTACAGCAGTCACACTAATCTTATTATAAGAAAAGCATTTCATGAAATGATATCACGAAAAGCATTGATAGGATAGATGGATGAGCTTTTTTTGGTTTATTTGTGTCGAAAATAAATCAGTGTAAAATAGCACTTTTCTCTGAATGGTACGTACAGTTTATTCAATTGATTACATTTTGAAACGTGATATGCAGAAAATTTTTGAATAATTTCAACGCAAATCGCTAATAGCCAAGTGTGTTTTTTCTTCTAAAAAAAAAAAGAATTTCTATGCACTAGAACATTGAATTTTATTGGCCTCAGTAATTGAATCGTCTTTCTTGTGTTGACAAAAAAAAAAACAAAGATCAAATAAAATTGAAATCAAAAACAAAATTGTTATTGTTGTTTTTCTGTAAAAAGTTTATCTATCATGAGCTAAGATTAGTCATTTTTCTTCTTTTTCCAACTTATATATACTTTGTGGGAAACATAGAAAATTCCAGTTTTTTTATCAATTATCATATGAAAGAAAATTAATGATCCATTGGCGTTGGTACTGTGATAGGGAATGAGGAATGATCCAATCAATTTTACACATATAGATTAATTTTTATTATCTTGAGGAGAGCCAGAAAAAAAAGCAACGATTATTGCTAAATCATGTAAATATAAAATATTTCATCGGGTTCTCATCAGCTGTTTACAACTTAAAATAGTTTAAAATAAAAGCTATCATGGAAATTGACATCCTAATAATAAATGTTAAGTTTGATTACAACTGATGATGTATATATTAGGACTCGGTGAAGATTCCTTTAAACGTCCGAAGGTTTCAGAGAAATGAGAATAACAGTAGTAAAGAGCAATATGAGTTGAAATCAGACAATTAAAGTTATGAATTCATGTGAAATGAATATGTTATAATCGAAACCCAAAGATGGCATACAATGAACGTAATATTTATCATGATAGAAAATATTTATAAAAGTTTCTTTTTGAACACACAAAATATTATAGGTTGTAAGCAGTTAGTGAGAAGCACGTTCTAGGAATTTCGCATATTTTCAGGAAAATGACTAGTGCACATAATCCGAAAGACACCTTATTTCTTGTGCTAAATATTCACTCACCATTGTGAATAACATAAAATCTTTCAGTCTAGGAATATTTTAGATATTGATGTTACTTAATAGCAACCTCATAGTGAAAAGCTTCGTTTGTTATCATGTTGACGAAAAAATGATTTACCTGTCAGAGCAGTGAAATCTACAGAAAACATCTCCTAAATTACATTGTGATTGATTTTTAACGTAAACACTGTCATCATTGCATACTACATTGTTTGGCGACGAAATAAAATAAGCTAAAATTCATTTGTATTGATTGTTTGAATCATTCCGTTGATGTTTAGGACTGCAACTGACATATAAATGCACCCTATGTGGATTCCCATGGTATTGCCTTATTAAATCACAAGCATTATAAGCAGAGATGGATAGTGAATAACAATAGAATTTAGGACAGGCGTTTCGTCCTATATTTTAAACAAATAAAAGTTGATTAAGAGCGCTCAATTAGTTTTTCCAAAATAATAATTTGTTTTAAATTTACTTAAATACTTGGAACACATAGATTTGCTTCTCAATTCTTTTTTTATTTGTTATATCTCTTACTGTAATATATTGGTCGTACATCAGTTTTGTTTAGACTACAGTACATTATTAAAGATCAACATTTCAAAGTTTACAACTGTGTATTACCAATTATTCAGATATTTAGTGATAGTCTTCATCACCAACTGACGCTTGTTAGAGAACTGGTGAAAACTGACGATTCCTTCCCTTTCCTAGCCTAAAACCTGCATCTAATGCTCCTCCAGTGCTTGAACCCAAGACATTCAAGTCTTGCAACAGGAGTGTTTACGAAAACCTATTGCTCTGAAACTTAGTAATCCCTATCTTCAGTCTTAGCCAATTGGAAATATATCAGATAGCTTCAGTAGGTGACTCTTTCCCTACTGAAGATGATCAAATTCTCACCAGCTATTCTGAATGTACTCTGATATTGGTGTTTGTATTAGTGAAAAAATTCCTTGATAATAAATTTCTCTTAGCTGGAAAATTTCCCACTTCACCCTCAACTGTGCATTACTGTCCACAACGTATATGATCAAACAAGGAATAATGTTTAAAAAGTATATTAAGATATCTGTCCTTCGATTTTATACTTAATCTGTATTATTCTCACTGATTTTCTGCAATGTTATTTCTTTTATTCAACGTATTCGAAAGAGTATGTTGATTGATATCATTTGTTTTATTGTTTATTTATCTTTTCCTAACAGTTATTCAATCTCATTAACCCAGTCAAATTATAAGAGGGACATGAGATGCCTCTCATAGTAACAAACAAGTGTTCAATGCACTGCAACTCCATTTTAGAAATAGGGTCAACATCTTAACTATTTATAATTTCTCATGTATTCATTTCAGAAACCTTTAGGATAGTGATTTTTCCAAATATATAATATTCATTTTGCTATTTGTCTTATCAATATTTAAGGCTATCATATATTTTGAACAGATTTAAACAGAACTTATGTACTGGTCACGTATAAAATTAAAATACTTTGAGAGAGTACAATTTAGAAAAACAGGGGAAATCAAATCGCCGAATAGCTCTCAGCAATTAAAAATAGCTAATATTTGGTATCTACCTATAGTTAGGTAACAACCATCGTCAATGTATCTTACAGAACTTTTGGAGAACACAATTCGATCTACCTTTGACTAAGTTATGAAGGGACATGATCAGTTATTTCTACATGAACCTCTTTATAAAATTAAATTCGCTTAATTTTAACTACTAGTACAATCCAAAGGTGGTAGATACATTCGTTTTCTTTCTACATACTATCTCCACTAAATGTAAACTTAGTCTCAATTGAGTGCACTGATAACTCTGAACATGTGAAATGAATTCAGCATTTGGTCGTAATCAGGTTTTACATGTAATATTTCTTATTTTACTCCTGTTATTAATGAGCATAATTTTCTTCTTGATATTCATTTTTATTGCACAAACACTTTTTGAATGAAGTGTACCATTTGAACAAGTGGATCGACAACAGTACATAAATCTTTTCTAATATATAACACAAACTAAAATTAGTCAACAGTGGTTTGTTCAGTAATTCCGTTCGTTTAAACAAAAGTTTTTCGGAAAATGTCCGTAGAGAAATAATCGATTGTATGAAAAATGAATACGATAACTTGACGGTTTTAGATATACTGACCAATAGATTTTATTAACACTCAGATACTACTTATAATATCAAAACAAATACACATTTAAGCAGTGTGGTGGACGCGATGTCTAATTCAGATTATATGTTGCACCAAAGGTAACTTGTTGATTGAAAATAAATAATTTTAAATTTTTCTTCAATTACTTTTATGTCATCATGCAATAATACTCAAATAAAAAAATACATTTTTTTCAGAAATTTATTAAATAAAGAAAGTTACTGAAAAATGAATTCATCTGTATCACGTTGTACTGAGCCTTCACAAATTCAAACGAAATTAACAGAAGCAAAAGAACCAGAAAATGCATCAGTAAATAATTCACCAACAACACTACAAAGTATACCTACATCATCATCATCGACAATACAAGGAGCTGATGAAGAAGTACGAATAGTATTTTTAGGTTCAGCTAAAGTTGGAAAGACATCGATTATTCAGCGTTTTCTCCATAATCATTTTGAAACAAAATATACACCGACCGTTGAAGATATTCACCTGAAAAAGTTCATAGTGCGTAATCACATAGTGAAACTTGTTTTAATGGATACAGCTGGCAGTTATGATTTTCCAGCGATGTTGCGGTTATGCATAAGTAAAGCTAATGCATTTGTCATTGTATTTGCTCATGATAGCCTTGATTCACTTGTACAAGCTGGTCAACTGTTATCACAAATTAAATCTCAACGTAAAGATTATGTCTCTTTTACATCAAATGTATCACATGAACAAAGTGATGATTCGGTACTTGGCATGAATACACCATCTCCACCAATTACCGTTGTTTGCAATAAATCTGATTTACCAAACTCATGTTCACAAATCAGTGAAGAGGCTATAATGGAATGGTTACTGACAAATGGTTTAAAGCCATCACAGTTTGTATATGTTAGTGCTAAAACAAATGACTCAATTATGTCTATATTTGCATCACTATGGTCACAAAATGAAGTGAGTAAGGCAATTACATTGGTTAAATGGGATGGTGCCAGACGAGCTAGTCTGAGTAATACCCAACAAGCTGGATTAGTTACTAGTACTAGCGGTAATATAGCAAGCAGCACATCAGGAAATATGTCAGCATCTAGAATGAAAGAAACAGATTTTTCTGCGCTTACCGGCACCGTACCCGTTACAAGTAACAGTGCTTCTTCGAATGACAGTAACATCAATCCTATTACTCATAGTCATGAATTATCTGACACCAGTATAACTGAGCAAAAGCATTCCAAATCTCGTCAAGGAATCTTTCGTAGTAGTCTGCGTTTAAGTAGAAGATCTAGCGGAAAGACAAGTAAATGTAAACCTGATATAGTCCATTTAGATTGTGTATTATCTTAATAGCAATTTAAGTGTTGATTTTTTTTTCAACGCATACACAATTAATATCTTTATTGACACTTCGTATTCAAAACAAACGTCAAAATTGAGAAAATAAAGATATTTCCTTATTAACATGAACTATACTTAAAGATTCTTTCTATCCTGCATTCCATACACAAATTATCATTTATTCTTTATTGTCAATGTAAACTGTCGATAAAAATAAACATATTGTGTCCTGGAAATATGTTGTCTGTATTAGTACTTCTATTTCTTGTATGCATTGCGTAAAAAAAAAGCATAATTACATTATTATTTTTGTAAATGTCAAATAATTATCAAACAGAATGATAAAAGTTATCAAAACCCAGTAATTTATTACTTCCTGTTTATCATTTTCCATTAGAGGGTGCCTTTTTTCGGAAACTAGGAACTTCACTATATTTTTTGTTAATATGTTCCCAGAAATGCAACTGTGAAAGGGTACCATGAAGCCTATACAAATATTCGTCTTTATGTGAACGAATAATTTTACAGAAATTAGTCGGCAAGTTTACCATGAGGAGTTTACATTGATAAATGCATGTAGCTTAAATTAGAACTTTGCAATCGCAACCAATATAAATGATTATTGTCAATTAACTACCAGCCGTTCTTACAAAGATCAAAATATTTATATTAAAATACAATTATTGTAAAGGAAAATTAGATAATATGATTTAGATAATATGATAGACCTAATAAGAACTACAAGAATTTTTAATGCGGATATTGTTTTTCAAGTAATTTAATGTTATCTGAATAAAATACAACATTGGATTGTCCTTTGTTTGTGGTGGTGTTTCGTTCTCTGAGCTGGTTGTGTTTGGTTGTGGAGCTTTCATTGTTCTTCTGAACAACATTGTTCATTTTCCACCTGAGCTACAAGTTTTCTCCACCATTGTCCTTTGTATTTGCTTAATTATGCATGCATGTACATGAAGTTGGTAATTCTAAGCATTTCCGCCAAACTAAATCAATTGAAGAGAAAAGGTTAGAATATTGATTTCCGAAATAGATATGTTGGCAAATTTATTGGCTTTTTCAGTAAGACAGTAAGTATATGCTGCAAACATTAATTACTAATGGTGTTAATTACAGTTAGTTCTAACTGAAATAATGCAATACACAGAAGTAGATCAGATTAGTATGACCTCAGATAAATGGAACCTGATATTATTTTTGTTAAACTTCGCATTCACACATTGATTGTGAGTTGAATTTAATGAATCACCTAAATTCTCCCTTTTAGTCAAATTTTTAGTTCTAACTTTCAACTATCATAATAAATAGTCTCATAATTCCTAAAACTGTTTTGCACAAGCGTCTGATTCCCAAGTAATTTAATTATCCAGGTGTTTGCATTTTCTCATACCGTCATCAATTATTGATACTTTTACTATCAATGCAATGATTTCTATTTGATGGTAACTATTATAAATTTCATCAGTTTGGCCACCCTTCTCATAAAAACATACCCGATTTTTGTTATTGATGACATCGTCGTAATCATCATCATCTTTCTCTCTCTCTCTCTCTCTCTCTCTCTCTCTCCCTTATCCTGCTCGTTTGTAAATTGAACTTAAATGAAATTAGAAGGCACTCCTTTAGTAAACTAAATAACTTTTTGGGTGTTACGTAAACTAGCCTTTACAATGTTTGCAACATACAAAGTATGTGTAAACTTAGGCAATTAAATTTATCAAAATAGTGATCGATAATATACTACATGCGAGCACTCAATCTAGGTATGCAGAACACATTTAAAAAAAAATTACTGCATTTGTGTATGATCCCATGATCTGTTTTTTTTTTTTTTGAATTTACACTGAACGTTTTAATTTTGAGTTAAAGTACCGGTTATAAAATGAAGTACTCGACGGTTTTCATATACGTGATTTAGGATAATGATAAAGTGTACAGATTATTTAAGGAAAGGAGAGAAAGTTTGCTGACTAAACTATTTTGTTTTTGAAAATCATCTTCATTTATTCGAATTTCCTTTCAGACTTAATATGACGTCGATTCAATTACAAATGTCATTAGTGATGCTTTAGTTTTGAATGGTAACCTTATACTTTCTCATCTTCAAAATTTAGAGTCATTAATTTTAAAGAAAGTAGGTCGGAAATAGTCAATTTTAAAATAACATTTAAGTGTAATTATGTTAATATATTCAATGATTCTGTAATTTTGAAAATTTTGAAGTAAAACAAATTCAAAATTCAAGCTCAGCAGTGACGTTGCAACACTCACTTTAAAGATGTCAAAGCGTTAGTTCGATATGTTAAATATAAACTACTTTTTAAATATTTTATTCATTATGGAGAGTTTTGTGTTGATGTTGAAGAAACACTTTGGTCGATAATGAAATAATGTTGAAGATTCGCCTCTTTTCCTTGAAAAGTGGGAATTCTTGGTATAGTCCTTATCTAACAATAAACAGCAAAACATTTGAAAATAATGATTAACCGCCTAGTTAGTGAGTACTATCAAATCTAGTAAGCTGATGGCTTAAAAAGAGAATGCGTAATTTGCACCTGTCATTTGTCGGTACGCTCCTGTTTTAGCTCAGGTGACTGTCAACCTATCTGCAGTTCTGTACTTTATTACGAATATGAACTATTGCATCCAAAAATGAGAATAACATGAAAGTATTTGATCATAACAGTCTTATAGCTATCTTTAGTTTATAATGAACTACCTGTCCAAGTAATTTATATGTTTAATACAGAAAACCAAAGAGAAAATGCAAGTCCATTGATTAACCTATGAACCTTTAGCGAAAGATTTCCGAAGGACGCACAACTCATACCTAACACCATTTCCCTATCATTCTGTCAGGAAGAAGCTCTAGAAGTGGATAGGACACCATATTGCGGAAAGCACCCAACTACATCCTCAAAGTCAAAGGAAAAGTTGCAGACTGAAGAACACATCAAGTCGAAAATTGGAGACACAAACCAAATGGATAGAACTGCAAAAGAATTCCCAGAACAGAGTAGGTTAGAGAGCGCTGATCAGCGGCCTATACTGCACTTGGAGTAACAGGCGTAAACGACAAAAAGGAATCAACATCCAAGATTGATCTAACAATCCTTTATAATTGCAAATGTAGCAACACCCATGACAACTATCTGTTGACGTTTATTTGGAATCCTATATGGTATTAAATGTTTAGTTAATAAATTGTAATTTTTTAGAATGAGTTAGCAAACAATTATCAAATAACCTGTTTAAGTTATTTCAAATATTTGATTTTTAAACCTCTTGACAATGGAGTCAAGAAAAATTAATAGAATGACTGTTTAAAGTGAAAATTTTCGGATATATTCGAGTCAGACATTGAAGAAAACTATGCGTTTTACATGCTTATAGCGTGTAGTACGGTAACAGATATGTTTTGAGTTAACATGATCATATGATAAATCTTAGTCTTGATTTGAATAAAGAGAAAAGAACAAACATAGAAGAATAATACGAACTTATTAACTTAGTAGATTCGTTGCAATTGTTTACTGCCTAAGAGTAATAGTAATAATAATTTGAAATCGATCCAAATACTTTAGATTAGATTGCTGAAGATTACTGAGATGAAGAAATGAATAATTAATTAATGTGAAGATTCTAGGGAAAAAAATAGTTAAGAAATGCGTGGAGTCACGTTTATGTAAAATGAAAATCAATGTCTAGAGTTACATAACAGCCACTCTGATAGTAGACAGATAGATTAACAGAGTAAAATGATACGAGTTTATAATATATAACACCAGAATGTAGGAAATGATTCAGTACTAGGTGTCATGATTTAAGCTGCGAATCAATTACATAGATGGCCAGGCAGAAAATCTGTCAACATTTTAAAAAGCATTTTATATTTGTGGAAACGAACAGTGATTTTTCATATGAAAAATTCGAATTCTTTTTGAAGCGTCAAATTATGATCATAAACAAGAGTTTAGTAATTTATTCATCATAAAGAGAAGATATCAAACATACTGATACTTAGTGTTGTTCTGCTTGAAGACACTGTTTAAATTGTTTCATTTAACCTGTGAAAGTGTATGTATTGTCTAGGATAGCAGGACTGAAAGATTTAAATAAGTTTGTAGTACCTCCACATACATTTGAGTTTGTTCACATTCGACTTGGTCAAGTCCTTTTGGTTAACTAATTAAACTGAGTCTTTCGTAAGTCAATAACTTATTTGCACCATAGTGCTCTTCTTATTGTCACGTTTGTATGGGCAGGTATCATTAAACATTGCTTACCGCCTGCGTATGAATTCAGTCTATTCGCTTCACTATTAGCCTCGTAAATAATTCATTCGCTTGCTCGGACTTCAGCACCCGCATATCATTTCTGCTTCGTGTGCCTCTGGTTTTGTTAGTCTGTTTGTAGTGCGACAGTAAACGCATTCAACGCTTCATTTTCGTCTTTTGATTTATACACCGTTTTGCATTATCTAGTACCGGTTGTCAGAACGAGCTGTGTACAAAGTCTAAGAATATGTCGAATACAGACCACCACAAAACTGGTGAGACACAGGTTGTTAGGAATGAAAAATAATGAACTATTGTCGGATTTTAAGTTTTTAAGTGTTTATTCAGCTTTGCCCATGTAAGTTTTCAGTGTCTTATTTCCCAGTAAACATTAAGAATTTTAAAAAATATTGCAGCTGTTCAAATAAAAAGTTTATATATTTATTAAAAATAGTAGTGAAAGTAAAGTAGCAATGGAAAACTAGAGATTTTTGAGATGGCGTAACACAGTATCTAGGTTTGGAATTAAGGTGTACAAGTCGTCATTTACGCAGAATTGCTGTCTCCGGAAATTTCTTCCAGTTTCAATATTTTTTTCTTTGAAGGTGTCTTTAACGAGAATTCTGAACATAATTTTAGTCCTGATTAATAGTCTCTACGAACGTCCTTTGCATAGTGAACAAATAATCATTGGCTTTGAAATGGCTTCCTTTAATTTTAGCAAGTGTGAGTGATGACAGTACAACCGGGCATAGATTGACTGAAGCTGTAATTACGGATCATAAGATTTCAGCTTAGCATTCTTAACTAACAGTTGACGAGGAAACTTCAAGATTCTGAATTCCGAGTTTGATGAAGGCGTAATTAAGCACTGTCGAAAAATTCCATACAAGGAAAAATAAGTTTAATTATCCTTGGCTTTTAGCTCATCAGACAAAGTTGAATCGTAAGATGTAATACATACACATCAGGTC